ATATGTACATTATTGATAGACTGTTGATGAGAAAAGTAAAGAAATTGAGGAACTGAGAGAAGAGATGACAACTATCACTCAGAAACACAATGAGGATTGTAAAGGTATCCTCATTCATTTATTATTAGACTATTAATTGTTCTCTTTTGTAGAGTTTTCTGATAAATTTGAAGAAAGAGAGAAGAGAATAAAAGAACTTGAAACATTGGAAGACAAATATAAAGAATTAACTGAAACACACATCACACTCAAGTATAAACTATAGCCTTATAATTATATTATACCATCCTCCCTCTTTTTCACTCACTCTCTCTCTTTCTCCTTTTTTCTCTACATACTTGAACATTCTCTCTCTTCTTTCTTTTCTAAAGAGATGAACTGAATGATACAAGAGAAAGTCTAAAAGAAGAGAAACTAAATGTAGAGAAGACACAGCTCCTGGCAGCCACACTCCAGGAGGCAGTGGAGACTGAGAAACTAGCAAGAGATTATGCACAGAAACTGAACCAGAAGAGAACACAAAAGCAACTGATGGAGAAAGAAGAACTGGGAAGGTCTGCTACTCTCATACAACAGAAATGGAGACAATATCATTTAAAGGTACAGCATATGCAAAGTGTACATGATTTAGCTTTGAAAGCATCCAAATAAAATCCAATCCCATTATTCTGTTTTATAAGGATTGTCTTTTATTATTTTAATATTTTTACAGAAGAGGCAACTATCATTTGAAAAGGAGCAGAATGAGGTATAGTTATAATTAATATGTACATCTTATCCCTGCCTCTCTCCTCTATTCCCCTCCAGTTGATTCAGTACTTGCAGAGTGTATTAAGAGGACACACTGTTAGAGACCAGTTTTTAACACACAGAGAGAGAAATACAGAGACAAATGAGCTGACAAAAACTGTACAAAATATTCTCTCTGGACATTATGTTAGAAGAATGCTATTGCAACAAAATGAACGTTGAATTTTATTTTAAAATTTACATTTTCAAAAAAATTGATGTTTATTCTAATGATTTTAACTAAGCATCAAAATACAAAAATAGAAAAAAAATACTAACTTCAAAACTACAATTAAACAGGTTAGCATTAAATAGTGTCATTTAGTTCAGTTATAATATCATTCATTGTTGGACGGTGTCTATACTCAACTATCAGGCAGCGTTGAACAAGAGACCTAAACGAGGCTCTTCTAATACCATCAATAAGACCTACTCTCTCTTCTGGTAGAGGAATACGTCGTGTTATCATCTCTAGAAGGAGGACACCATAACTGAACACATCCATTGAAGGAGAGTGTTCCTTTGGATTGGCTGCTTCAGGTGCTGCATAAAGTGGGCCACCAGGATTGACTGACCTAATTATAAGATGCTGAAGATTAGCTGATCCATAATCAGATACTTTAGCCCTAAAACCTCCAAACCCATTTCCCTGAAGGAGTACATTAGCACTGCTGACATCTCTATGTAGTATAGGATGAGGCTTGAAGAGATGAAGGTAATTGAGAGCACAGGCTACATCTAAACTGATGCGCAATAGTTCAGGATAGGCCAGTCCTACACTCTCTAATTCCTTTCTTAGGCTGGTCGGCATTAGCTCTGTCAGGATGATTGGATTACCCTCTGTAGTCGCTCCAATGAACTGAAGGAGGTTAGGATGACGTATTTTAGAAGCAATATTCATTTCCCGAGAGAACAGTGACACGTTATATTCTGATATGATGGTCTCATGAAGTACCTTTGCAGCAACTTCCAGTCCATGGAAACGAGCTACTCTGACCTCTCCCCATCCTCCTCTCCCTAGAATCCTTTCTGTCATTCTAATATCATTTCTGCTAACTACCCAGGAAGACTCTCTCTCTAGTCTATCTCTCTCTCTTAGTTGCTGCTCTAGGCCTCTCTCTCTTTCTTGACTTTCCTGAAGCTGCTGCTGAGCTTGTTGAAGCTGTCGTTGAAGACCCTGTTCTCTTTCCCCAGCCTGCCTCTCTCTTTCCCCACCCTGTTGAATTTCCCTCTGAAGTTGTTGCTCTCTTTCTTGAAGCTGTCGTTGAAGATTCTGCTCTTGTTCCCTGGCCTGTTGAATTTCCCTATCTTTTTCTTGTCTTTGTTGCTCTAATTCCCTCTCTTTTTGTTGAAGCTGTCGTTGAAGATCTTGAATTTCCCTCTCTCTTTCTTGTCCTTGTTGCTGTGCTTGTTCAAGTTGTCGTTCTCTTCCTTCAAGTTGTTGCTGTAGTCTGTTTCTAACTTGTTCCTTTTCTCTTCTCTCCTCCTCTAGTTCCCTTTCCCTTTCTTGTAGTACACGTGTCAGACGGTCTATTTCTCTTCTATCCTCAGGTTGAACAGGTTGAGATGCTTCCCATTCTCTTCTCCTTTCTTGTAGTTTCTCTTGATACTGGTCCAGAGGTATTATACTAGTAGACCGATCATTATTACTAGCATATCCTATACAGTAACACAATAGTTGAATTAATGACAAGTACATGTACATGTATAATAATAATTAATATAATATCAGCTACTACTGTATAGTGGAAACCACTGATTATTAATTAAATTCATTTATATAATTATTTTGAATTATTATGTCAGTTAATAAAGCAAATCTGGTGAAATAATATCCTATACCAAAAGGCTATACTGTTAATTTATAACTAGGTGAATGTAAACTTTGAGGGGGCGTGCATATTAGCTATCGACGTGGCTTAGCTTGACTTTATTGAAATAAAATAAAAATGAATCTAATCTTAGTCTAATGAGAGAGAATGGTCTGTGAGACCATTACCTGCTAGTCTAGTCCCACCTCTTCATTGCACGGGGGACCAGACTAATTACCTGCATGCATATTCAGACCCTGACCTCACAGTTGGGGTCTGAACAGAGCAAATATCACCAATCACCTCAGTACTAACAAAACGAAATAACCAATCATCAACCAATAAAAAAGACAAGAAATAGTGCTGTCAATAAGAACCAAAGCTAAACTTCTAGAGTCAAGCTCTTCTTACATTCTTGGTTCTATCAATGAGAGGACTAATCCAAGAGAGTCTTAGATCAAAGTACAGGCTATCAAATATTCTTCAACAAAAAACTTGCACAAGCACTGTAGCTCACCAAAATTAATATTATAGCGTTTACTCGACTTTACAGAGCTGATAGACTAGCCTTTAGAAATGCTCCTCTCTCTTATCTAGCTGTTAGAAAACTTGACAGTTTGTCCCATTTAAACGCCACCATCTTGTTCATTGTGACCACTCTCTTCTACTGTCCCATTTCAATATTTCTTTTTAAACTTTATAAGAGTAGGCATTTCCAGCCAATTTTATAATTAGACAGCATATGGAATTAGAGGGTCTTCGCTCATGCTCACCCCAATTATTATATTCAATATGTACAAAATGTGTATATTCAATACATTTGTATTTACATGTACTCACTGAGTTCAATAACTGCTGTATCAGTGTGTGACGTCTCTCCTCCAAACACAATTATCCAGTTAGTGGTTGGAGTCACACTCCACAATGAGAGAGAATGATAACATCTATCAGTGACATTCTTTGGTATATTAAACTATAAAGGAGGATTATAATAAATATAATTTGTAATATTCATTGTCACGTACTGTACATGTACATGTATTGTTATTAAAATTTGATTAACTCATTCCTCAATAGTTTATCCAAAACCATAAACTCCACCCAAAATGTCTAAACCACACCCACAATATAATGTCATACCTACCAGTTCCTTCCATGATTTATTTTTAATATCAAATATCCAAAGATCATAAGTACCAAGTCCACCTACCACTAGTAGGTGTGGTCCTGAGCTAG